AAATTTTTGAATATGCCTAACCAAAGAAAATAGGAACAAGTTTTTTTTTTCTCTTCAAGTTGTTTTTAATCATTTTGTGCAAAAGATCTGTAAAAGAATATGAACAATATATTTCATTAGAAACACTACTTTATGATGGTTTACTAATGAAAAAGTTTTGTTTGTATTCTTCATTCAAGTTGATGTTTGTTGAATTTGTTTTTCTGATTCTTGTTTAATAATAGCTTGTTGAATAGTGATTGGAAATCCTGGATTAAGACCTAATACAAATCGTAATAAGTTTTCCGATAAATCATCAAAATCCACCATAATTTTAATGAACATTGTATCATCTCGAATATAACCATTTCCATCGGCTTGAATTATAGATAATTGACAAAACTTCGGCAAACCACTTGCAATATTTATTTCAGATTGTGGACGTTGAAAACTATTTGATTTCGTATTCGGTAGAAATGAATCAATTATATGTTGTTGCTTCGGGGTTTGATCGAACAAACAAAATATAACTTTATAATTGAACGGAAACTTGAGTATAGCATCATATTCACCTCGCATGAGAATAAAAAACAGTGATATATGTGTATGATGAGCATTTCCATCACCATTAAAATATAAACGAGCTCGCATTTTATAGCCGGTATGTGATGAAAAAAATGGAGGCGAATAAATTGATGTTTGTCGTTTTGATTTTGCATCAGCTAAAATAGAAACATAGTGTATTGAATGAAAATTAATTTTTTAAATAAATATCTCACCCATTTTGCTACTAACATTTGTTATTTTCCAAAATAATGTACCATCATACGAAACATTTTGCATATCATCCATTTTTTGTTTTGATGATGCAATTTCTTGATCAAGAATTTCTTGATTACGTTTTAATTCATCTAAACATGTAATTTTCTCTTCAATACTTAATTTCAATCTTGCAAAATCACTAGTCAATGATTCGATTCTGTTGTTTATAAAATTTGATTCCTGATTAAGTCGTTCTCTATCTTCATTTAATGTTGAAACTCCATCAGAGAGAATATCAAGAGTTTGACAAGCTTCTTGTAATTGCATAGTAATGCTGTCGAAAGAAGACATCGTAGTATGAGAAGGTATATCAACATCCATTGTAGAGCCTCTATTATATGAATTATTTGGATATTTGGACGCGGCATGACGTATAAACGTCATTATTGCAACTTGATGTTGTTCAGTTTTGTAATGTTCCCATTTTTGTGCTCGAATAATCTACAATGCAAAAAAAGTAAAACACAATATGTGAGAAATGAGAAAATCATTTTCATTGAAATTTGTCGTTTTTTATTACTTACGAGTGTTGAACATCCGAAATCTTTGAGAGCACACCACTCAGTAATTTTATCACATTCATATAATTTATGTACGTTAAGTTCATTTACTGAATTAAACAAGTTGTTACAAAATTCACATGATGGATTTAGATGAGATTTTTGAAGATGATCCTTAGAAATTGAAAATTAAGTTTATTATATTTATTAATGTATAATACAATCTAAAGACAAGACATTATTCAAATAATCTTTGACAGCAACATAGTAGACACTTGTAGTTTTCATTCTTCAAGAAAGAAAATCGAGGACTATTGATATTGACTTCTCGATTGGAATGCGATCAATCGTCAAGAATATGTCTTCTATTTTATTCGACAAAAAAAATCCCAACTTTTCAAGATGTTTATTGCAAGAGTTCTTTTTTTTTCTTTGTCTTCACATTTTAATCTCGTTGAAATTATTTTAAAAGTTTTTGATGCTGTCAAGAAGAAATTTTCAAAATTCTTTTAAGGTTAATATGCTGATGTTGGAAGTCTTCGATTGAAGGTACTAGAAATTTTGGATCAGTGTAAATCGAACGAGTAGAAATTTTTCTATCAAGTGATCGTATGAATCGTCGAAAGTCAACTCATTTGACTGGATCGGTATTCTACCAATAAAATGTCGATAGTTCCGTATTATGTTTCTTGAATGATGAAAGCCTACAGGCCTCTATGATATTCCAATCAAGGTTATTCGAAAAAATAGTTAAATATATTCTATGAATAATCAATCTATGATTTTACATAAATGAAATTTGATTCAATAAAGTCTTCATGTCATCTAGAAAATCAAACATTTGACTATCAAGATCATGAAATGATCAACGAATTGTCTCAGTAATCAAGATGCAACGGGTCAAACTCTTACATACTAAACTTCTCATAGATTCTGCTCAATTGAAAATTTATAATCGATTTCTTCACGAAAACTATTAACTTTTTGTTGTTTATAAAATATTTTTTTTTTGAATAAAAATCAGCACAGAATCGCGAATATAAACCTAACACTTTTCTTTATTCTTCAAGTAATTCCAACGTAAATTCAATCTGTCTCTCATAAAAATATTTTAATAGAATTCTTTTACTGATTACGTTATATTTAATTCGTTGGAATAAACCATTTATTACATTATGCTTCACAAATATAGATATACGTAAGCTTTGCTACCTCATAGTTTGTCAATATGTCATTCCAATTACATAGTGAGCATTGAATAACCAATGTTTGCATATCATTTTTAAAACCCCTATCAACTAACACCTAAAAAGTAAGAAATATTGATAGATTAGAAAAAAATTTTTATATCGTAACCTCTTCCTTTGGTGTTTCTTCTCGACATTCAGGACACAAGACTTTTTCCCTTAAAAACATAATGGCCAATTTAAAATCAATAACAGTTTAAACTGATATTTTTTACCCTTGTATTGATTGAACACACATTTTACACTGACGGTGTCCACATATCAATTGAACAGGATCTCGTAAAATAAGGTTACATATTTGACAGAGAAATGTTTGCTCAATGATATCTTTATTTCTTGAGTTGAATCCCACCACTTGCGTACAATCCTATAACAAAAATCTAGAGAAATATAAGCATAAAAGTAAACGAACTCGAGAATGTTGAGCCATTGATGTTGAGCTACTTTCGGCTTTTGTAGACATGCTTGTAGGTGAACCTTTCAACGATCATTAAGAAAATAAAGTCAACATTATATTTCGATATCCCAAGCAAACTTCAAAAGATCTAAGAGGAGTGAGCAGAGTGCTCGAATGTCGAGCTCTCAACAGCATCATTCCATCGAATAATCAGTTTTGACTATTCAGCTACATTTCGATCACTCGATGCCTCTCGGAATTTCGAGTGTTGGAACTAATTTCGATTATTCGAAATCTATCAAACCTATGCGCAGTCAATGAGAACAAACCTATCGGTAGGATATTTTCGAGTAGCCGGACTGATTTTGATCTCTCGAAACATATCGATTCTCTGAGTACTCGGTAGAAACTACCTGCGTGTTGGTGTGGGCGTGTGGATGAAGATCACATCAAAACCCACACCCCAAATCAATCGTTCGAGTGATCATGAAGGACTAATCAAAAGATCCATTGTCAGTTCTCTTATTTTTTTCAAATATATTTCACTCTATCAATATTTTATTTGATAATTCTTAGTAAGGTAGGTTCGTTTTTACACTTCAGTTTGATATGTAACAAATTATTATCTAAAAAGGTACTTCTTAAACTTAATACTCAGCTCACATTGGCACAAATATTTATTCATATGACTTGTTTGAATAACAATGTATGTTGATTTTAGTACGAAATAGATTTATATGCAAGTGAATGTGTTATATGACTACGTAGTCTCAAGATTCTATACTGTTATGATTATAGTAGAATCAAGAATACATATTCATTGCTAGAAAAATTAAATTTAAAAGTTATAATCGAACTTACGAAATTTCAGAAGAGATTTTGTAAGTTGGAAATTACAATATTTAATAAAACTTAAAATGTTTAATATCTATAAGCTTTATCTTTTTTGTTTTTGTTTTTATAACCAATCATTTGTAAGATATCAATCACGTTGTTATCAAGATAATATAAGTCGATACGGATAAATCTTGATTTTATTGGCATGATTAATGTATTCTGTATATTTAAAACCTATTTGCTGATAAAGGAATTCGTACATCATTATACTCGGTTCACAAAGATGACGCCAGGAGTCTTTTGAAAGAAACGAACATCAGGTCAATGATTCTGGTACTCATATTCGTAACTATGTGCAAGTTTCGCATGAGAGTACCAGAATTGGAAGGGAGTGTGAGAAGGGTCTGCGGCAGCAAAATTAGGGAATGGAAGTTTTTTTTTCATATTACATCTGATACTTATCTTTCTCTTGCAACCTAAAATGTAGCGGCTTTTCGTGAAGTGAAAAATTTTTGTAATTTTCCTAAAAAATTTGACTTTCTTCAGCAAATTGTCAAGAAAAAAACCGATGTCTAATGTAAAAAGAACTTCTCGATAGTTTTGTCGCCGAAAACGATCACACTGGCGACGATTGTTGTAAATTAGGCTGTTTCAAAGGAAAAATTGACTAAAATAGGAATCTTTTCTAAGTCAATTGAGGTAACGTAATTGTTATTTTTCGCGAAACGAAAACTCTCAACACCTCTTCAGAATTTCCTAGCAAAAAACATTGTTTGAGAATATATGCCGAGTAAAAAATCAGCTAATTTCTTCAACTTATCATTGAACTCATGTTTTTCGTCAGCGTCCCAACAACAATTTCCGATTATTCTGGAAGAATCATCCTTTGACTCTCCCTTCCACTCGGAACACTTCGGCGAGATGTATGCGAAAATATCTCAAAGAACTACTTTAAAAATAGAAAAAAAAATGATCGATTTTGCTGGGTACTAATACATCCACAGTTTTCACCACTTTAGAGAGAAAACTCAAAGTCGTCGAAGTACATCGAAATTCGATCAGTCAGGTGAGTTCTTCGTGGATATTCTTGAAAATGGTATCATAGAGTTATTTTCTCTTATATATCAACATTCGATAGGACTAGTTGATAGAAAAAAAAACTCTTCTCTTTCGATCCATACTAGGCCAATATTTCAAACTTGTTTCATTCGAGAGCGAGAAGACATTTCTCGAAGTCTCTGATTTCAACCAACCGACATGTGATCGTTTGAAAAAGCAGCTAGCCGTAAACGATTTCGTGCTCTAAGTCGATTGTTGACATTTTGTTCTAGTTTCAAAATCATCTGGTTCTGCTATCTCAATATTTCTGAAATTCTACAATCAACATATATTTAAATACGGAATCAACATTTTGAGAATTTAAAGATAACTCGTCAGATCAATTCGAACCTAAAAACAAATATAGCTTCTCTTCTGAGTGATCACAGGTCGGTTAGTTGAAACAGATTTTTAAAGAAAAACTTATAACTCTCAAATAGTGCAAGCTAGTAATAGCGGTCCTATTTAGATAAAAAGAAAAGAATTTTTCTTCTATAGCACTTTCATCAAAAGTGTAAACAGAAAGTAAAGCATCTTGACAATATCACTTTGGAAAATGTCCATCGAAAATTTACTTGTTCGGAGAAATACTAACCAGTCGAATATGCAATCGACTTCGAAGGCTCGAATCTTCTCTCGTAAATGGCTTAAAAATCGCAGATCTTGTTGATGTTTCTATCAAAATTCATTCCAATAACAGTGGAACATATTCTATTTTGAAATGGAAGTTAATTTTTTTCTGCTACTATTTTTTGCTTCTGTTTACCTAAATTAATAAAATTCGATTAAGAGAATATTTTTTTAACCTTAGGTCTCCTGTATAAACACACGGATACAGAGACAAATAGACTGAAAAATTAATAGCAAAATAAGTAAACTAAAGGTTAAGATCAAGTATAAATTCTACATCGTTGCTATATATTAGATGTCTGTTATATGGAAATCATTGTTCAATCATATAAACTAATACTAGTGTCTGAAACCGAGGTTTTCATAGTAGCGTTACGTTTATCTAACTCAAGATAAAATATTTTTGAGAAAGAATCAGTGCATCAGAATCGTCGTGAAAATTTAATTATAGTTCATTAATTTATTTGCTAGTATCCTATAAGTGTTATTAATATGAAATAAATGGCAAAAACTTATTTTCATGCCAAAAGAGAGGTCACATCGTTTTAGCTTACAAAACATTTGATAGCAAGGCTTCCGTATAGACAGCACGATGCACGGTTAATTTCAAAGTAAAACAGAAAAAAAACCTGTGAAGAACAATCTGGCAGTTCGTATCTATGATGTATATATTATTAAATACTCATAAAACTAATTTTTCGAATAACAAAATATATTTACTTACATTTTCGAGTATCCTCCACAGTAGGACATAAATGTTTATTTTGCATTATGAAGTATTTATATAATTAATGTTTGAAGTGGCCTGCTAAGTGGAAAACCCCTCGAACGGTTAAATAAATTGAGCCATCATACTTGTTTTCAAATCGTGTTTTTCACTGATAACATCGCATGATCTAATAGTTTTTAGACTTGCTTTTCACTTCATAGGACCTTTTATTTTAAGGAATTGAATTAAAAATGAAAGACATTTTCTTTGATGACTACGTGGTAAATTCTCTATTGTAAGTATTGGTAAAAAACTACTGCATGACAAATTTGACTCAATATTTTAGTTGTATTCCATCATATCACACGCTCGACTTTATAGAATGATCGAGAATACATGATAATACAGTATTTTTGTGTGATCGATAATCAATGAGATTAAATTTGAGATACCTTTCCACTAATTAAAATTGAGTTGAGTATGGTTAGATGCGCTTCGTCTCACGAGGAATCCTAATATGGTCTTGAATTTTATTTTTAACATTGTTCTTATGTACAAAACTACCAAAAGCTATTGAAGAAAATTATGTGATACAAACTATGTTCACGCTTTTTTCGGATTTTTGTTGCTTACAGTATTGTGCATATATGTCAGTGAAAGTTGAAACTTATCAAAAAAAAATTTCCTTTATCAAAATTCTTAGAATTAAAACCTTGACAAACCTTGAAAATTCTGTCGGAATCAGATATCACTTTGGTACTACTTGGTTGAAATTGTTTGGAAATACCCTTGTATTTTCTGCAGTCACAACCACATCCCATTAGTTTTATCTACACGCACACCCACATCTCACTTATCTAACCTCACCTCGTATTCTATAGCTACATATATATATATATATTTAGAGGGGCAAGTCCATGTCTTTGAAAGTTAAACGGATAGTAGATATG